GGGGTTTCACAGTGTTAGCCAGGATGGTCTCGATCTCCTGACCTTCTGATCCACCCGCCTCGGCCTCCCAAAGCGCTGGGATTACAGACATGAGCCACCGCGCCCGGTGGCCCTGATATTTCTAACATAGAATGTTTTTCTAGACAATCACTAGTAACCAGGCTGTTGTTTTTTGAAAACAAAATTTACTTATCTTTCCCGTTGTTAATAGAACTCAGATCACATAGCAGCAAATATTTTAAGAACTAAACCAGTAAAAAAAAAGAAAGAAAAAAAGTTTTTCTTACTTTCTTAGAAGACAAAGGTTTAGAAGCCAAGGAAAATCCATCCAAAATTTTGCCAATGTATCGAAGGTCTTTCTCTGATTCTACAAAATGATGTCATAGATTAATTCCAGAAGTAGAGACGATCAGGAATAAGACAGAACACGTCAGCGTTTTATGTTACCTCTAAGAACGTAAACAGCACGTATCATACCTGCTATCACTCAGCAGCAGCAGTAAAGGGAAGAACGAGTGGCAAGCAAAGCCCCACGCCTCTGTTGACTCAGTGACTGGGACCCAGCCCACACCGCCCTCCACAAATTGGGCTACCCAGGTAACAAGGCTGCGGTCCTCCAAGACAAGTACATTGATGTGACTTTTAGAAAAAGTACCTTAGGGGCACCAAAGGATATACCCCGTGGAGTAAAAGATCAAGAAAAACCACCAAGAGGACAAGTATGGAGAAACACCCAAATCACACCTGTGAGTGCGTCATGTGTAGAACCAGGTGAAGAACTGCAGGGTGACTACCTGGCCATCTCCTTAGCAACAATCCAAATAGGGATGAAAGGCAATGCCACCAGGTTGGCCTGTAATCTTTAACAAGACATAAAGATCACAGACATAGGACACTGAATGACCAACGCCCTCTGACCTGGAGGTGGATCGTCTCCTGGTCATAGGGACAATCCCATCAACAAAATCTCTTTGATTTCATTCTCAAAGTTTTCCTGCATGTACTGGTTATGCCAAAAGTCCGTATAAATGAACTGTATTCTCTGCACTCAAAAGCCCCTTCTACATGACAATCATGAGTTCTTTCACAGGCTACGAGCTCAGGCCTGAAGCAGGAGCAGACCGCAGTGCAGATGAGCTAAGGCTTTTAGCCACTGATCACTCAGCACCACCGCATCTCTCCCCTCCCCACAAAACCATCCTTTGTGCTTTGACTCATGTTGGACTTTTTTCCTTTTTTTTTTTTTTTTT